CTCATGTATACGTTATTTTGTTTTTTATTTTTGTACTCCACGTATTGTTATTTTTTTGTTTTTTTGTTTTTTTTTTGTAATCCATGATCGTAATTTTATGTAATCCATGATCGTAATTTTATGTAATCCATGATCGTAATTTTTGTAATCCATGATTGTAAATTTTTAAAAATTTGTGTATTTTTTTTTTTAATCTATGATCGAATTTTTTTGTAATCCATGATAGAATTTTTCGAAACTTTGTGATTTTCTTTTTAATCCATGATCGAATTTTTTTTGTAATCCATGATAGAATTTTTTGAAAATTTGTGATTTTTTTTTTTAATCCATGATCGATTTTTTTGAAAATTTGTTATTTTTTTTTTTAATCCATATTATTCAAAGAGAAAATGAGAGAGATGATGATTCTGAGGCCACCCTATCCCAGCCATATTATTCACATATCGAGTCCCAACAGCAACAGTGTAGGGATGAGCACGACAGTGCAGGTGAGCATGAAGGATGGACAATCTTCGAGGATTTTAGATTGGGAACGCAACAAAACACTAACACTCAGGGATTTGAGCATAGTAAGACGCCTGCTAATATCGATGATTCGTTTTTAGATCGAATCAATGATTTGTTAAACGAATTTAATCAATGGCACCAGCGTGACCAAGAAGAACAATAAGGTCATCTATCATTTTATTTTTAGATCATATGTTACTAATTTTATGCTTTATTGTAGTCCATGTATGTTGATAAACTTATTCCATGATAATTCTATATTTATCCTTTTGTGTGATGTAAATTAAATGCTGAATGGCGGTTCATGCAGGGAAAGAACATATCAATATTCGCATATTCATTCAAAAACATGAAAATTCTTAATGGAGTACCCTCATTTCTTATTGAATTCCTGAAAAACAATATTTATAATGAATTTTAATAATTTTTGTGGATTTTTTTTAAGCTTTATTCTGACCGATTCACCCGATTCCCAATCTGGATCGCCGATTCGCCGATCCGGATCGGTTTTTTGGAAGCTCGATCCGGGTCACCGATCCTTTTTTTAAACCATTGATTAGCACTAATTAACATGGCTCCTTTAATATGCACCAATTAAGATTTGACCAATTAATGGGTCCGATGTTTGGCGTTCCGAGAGACATCGAGTTGATTTTAAACCTCATTTTTTTTCTTTAAAGATTTTGGGCGGTTTGATAATCCTAATATTAGACCAACTAAAAAGTGGAGGGCGGCGGCAGTTCGATGGTTTGAACCAATAGTTTAAAAAACTGATCGGTGACTCGGATCAGGCATCCAAAAAACCGATCCGAATCGGCGAATCGGCAATTCGGATCGGGAATCTAGTGAATCGGTCAGAATAAAGCTTAAAAAAAATTTGAAAAAATTATTAATTATAAATATTATTTTTTAGGAATTCAATAGGAAATGAGGGTACATTTTCATGTTTTTGAATGAATATGCGAATATTGATATGTTCTTTCCCTGCATGAACCGCCATTCAGCATTTAATTTACATCACAGAAAATGATAAACATAGAATTATCATGGAATAAGTATATCAACATACATGGACTACAATAAAGCATAAAATTAATAACATATGATCTAAAAATAAAATGATAG